CCGCGCTGCCAAAGCCTCCTCCTCGCTGCTCTCCTCCTCCCCCGGCCGGGTTCCCCCCTCTCGCTGCTCCCCCTCCCTTCTCGGCCTGCCTGCCGGTCTCTCACTCCTCGCAACTCCTCCTCCCCCTCCTGAAGGAATGATTAGAAGCCGGGGGCACACAGAGACAGAAGCGCCCAAGGGCGAGCGCACGCACACAGGCGCCGGGTACGTGTGCCCTGCGCGGGTGGAAGTGAGTGCGTATTTACAGAGTGCAGCAGGCAGCGGGCAGGACTCCAGTGTGGGTGGTTGTGTGGGTTCCCTCCGCGTGTGTTTTGAGTTCCTATGGATATGCGTGTGGCTTCATGCGTTCACGTGCGCCGCACTACCTGTGTGTCCCCCTGTGTGAGGGAGAGGTGGAGCCCATCTCTCCCCACGGGGGGGGGAGGGAGGGGGGCCTGGGGACCTGGACATTGATTGAGGAGTGACGGCCACTGTCAGAACCCGGGAAGACCAGACCACACCTGTGCCCCTGTCTGTGCAGGGAAAGGTCAGGGTCCGCTCCCAGCTATGATGGCACTACACACCTCTTTTCGGCTCCCTCACCTTGATCTTCCTGGCCTGTCTCCATCACTGTGGCCTTCCCCATGATGCCTTTAACTGCCTGCCTGGCCGTTGGGAATTTCTCACAAGTTTAAAGCTCTCCAGAGCAGGCAGCACCACATCTTTGACTACATAATATCACCACACCGCCAGAAAATCAATCCTGATGGCTCATCTCCAGCCCCTCCTGCAGCCCTTCCAGCTCATTTCCTCTTATTCTGGCTTCAGAGAAAGAAACCTAACAGCTAAGGACCTAGCACAGAACAGCTTTGCTGCTTAGTAAACACTGGGGGATGAGGGAACTGGAATTCAAACCCAAGACTTGGTAACAGGGCAACGCCTTTCCATCCAAACTAGTCCTGCCTGGGACTCACAGGAACCACCTCTCTTCCTTGGTGTTGCTCTTTTCCCACCACTTTTTTTTTCCCCATAAAAATGAGAGGCAGAGAAAGAGATACACCCTCAACAGGGTCTCGCACTTCGGCCCTTCAGTTCCCCATCCTCCCTTTCCCAGCCAGCCAGGATCAAGGGCAAATGGCACTTACAAGTGGAACAAAACTGTGATCTCCCATGTGGCTCCAGCACATGTCCGTGCCTCACCAGGCCCGGCCCTGTTCTCCTCCTGAATATCCACCTACTCTGGCACTGGGAAACTCCCATGTAAACAGTAACTGCTGGATCCAAACTAGGCCACTAATCCAGGATCCCAGAATGTGAATTTTTATTTTAAGAACTGTGGTTCAAGAAAGCTCAGGGTCAGCCACAGTGGTGCAGCAATAAAACAACATTGTGAGGCTGGACTCACATGAGAATGTTTTGGGTTTCCAATGTCTCCCTAAGTGTACTGGGTGTGGCTGCAGGGGAAGAGGGCACCTCCAACAGGCATCATTGGAGAAATAAATGAATTTTTTTTAAAGAACTCTTTTTTTTTTTTTTTTGAGCAGTTTTCTAGCACAGAAAGACAGAGACAGAGAGACAGAAAGCAAGAAATCACCCCCTGGGAGGATAGCCAGGCTGCAATCCCTTCTCCTCCATTCTCCTCTAGGGATCTTGGGCACGCACGTACAGGCACCCGGCATGAGTTTAAGCCACCAGGTCCGGGACTTGAACCACGGTCTACTACATGGGCATCCAGCGACATAGCTATTATGCCAAATGCTGGTCCCATTTTTTTTTTTTAAGAACTCTTATGTTTGGGAACAAGCAGTTAGCGTAATGGCTATGTCGCTGGACTCCCACGTAGTCGACTGCGGTTCGTGTCCCGGACCCGGTGGCTTAAAACTCACGCCGGGCGCGTGTGCATGCGTGCCCAAGATCCCGAGAGGAGAATGGAGGAGAAGGGATTGC